GCCGAGGGGACCGGGATGCGGGGATGGGGATGCGGGGAGCGGGATGCGGGGAGCGGGATGCGGGGATCGGGATGCGGGGATGGGGATGCGGGGACCGGGATGCGGGGACCGGGCTGCGGGGATGGGGATGCGGGGAGCGGGCTTTGGGCCCCCACCGTGTCCCCGCCGGTCGCTCCCTATGCCTGGCGCTGCTTCCGACAGCAAAGCGCAGTCCCTGCAGCGCCGGAGCACGAGGGGTTGGGAACTCCGGTGCCAAGGCACAGCCGCCAGCGCTCAGACCAAGCAGCCCCGGCTCGGAGCGGGTCCGGGGCTGTTGTTGCTGGGCCGGGCTGGGGAGCGGCAGCAGGACCTGCCCTGACCCGGCTCAGGCCGGGACACATCCCGGCTCTGGCAGAGCCTCTGGCTCCAGGTCTGGGCTCAGGTATCAGGATCAGGGCTGGGAGAGGACGGAGCCATCCCAGCGGGATGCTCAGGGATGCTCAGGGATGCTCAGGGATGCTCAGGGATGCTCAGGTGGTGTGGGACAGCCAAGACCCTGCCTGAGAGAAGGCATTGCCTTTTTGTCACTTTACTGAAGGGATACCTAAGGGTTTCCTCCAGCCTTGCAAACAATCTGATCAATCTATGTTTCTGTCTCTCCAGGAAACCACAGCCCTCAATTTCTTCAGAAGACACTGCTAATTCACACGGCTCTAATTGAGACCTACTTTCAGACACATCATCTGCTATGAGACACCCTCCAAAGAAGCATTTTGTAGCACATTTTCCCATCCTGAGGAATTAAACAACGCAGATAAAGAATTTTGGGGAAGGTTTTGGGTTCACAGTGTATGAGAGGCCACATTACTTCACTGGAGCAACTTCTCTGGATGACAGCCCTCATCTGGAAGCACCAGCCCCATCCTGTCATGCCCAAAGCAAAAGAATCAGATTAAAACTATTGGAAGATGACAAGAGTGCTGTTTCTGTCTTGCTCTCATCAAGGCCACAGCTTCAGGGTTTTCTTCTGTAATCACACATTACTCAAGAACTGCAGACAGGATGATGGACCCTGTGCTTGTTCACCAAAGCACAGTGACAAGCACAGACCCCACAGACACACAGGACAGACAGAGCAGACCACCCACTTCACCCTGACACCAAGCAAGAACTTCCATGATCTGCTTTTCTATGGCACAGCTGCTCCTGAACGTCCATCCTGTGTGTCAGTGTCTGTGCTCCTGGGGCACAGCCCTTCCCCAGGGACAGAAACCAGAGCAGAGCTTGCCCAGTCCAGACCAGGCTGTGCAATGGGCACACTGGGATGTAGGGTGACATCCCCAGAGCCAGAGTTAATGATCAGCTCGTTCTGTAAACACCAGTGGATTCTCTAGCTCAGTGTTTAAAGTTGTACTCTTTCTAATCAAGTAGTGACTATAGCTACATGTCATAAAAATTGGATTGCAAGTAACTAATCATTAGGTCATGTTTTAATTGGGTTTTTTAGTGAAAAAGGCATCCTTTGTCTCTTGTGCTATTGAAGGGGATATAAAGAAAAATGTAACAGATACTATTACAGAAAGAGAGAAAAATAAATAAGAAGCACATCCAGACAGAGAGTCCATTCCACGGATTTACAGTCTGCATGTTACAGGCATGAAGCAGAAACCTGCTTTAAAATAAGATTTAAGGAGCCCAAGGAATCAAGATCAAGCCTGGCATGCTAAGGAACACTGTTGGAGAAACTTACATTGAATGCTATCAGCACAACAGGCTGAGTCACTGTCATGATGGGCAGCAGCTTCAAGAAAAACTGATCTCTCTGATAGATTCAATATAGGAATAAAGTAACTAAGAGGAACCATTAAACTCTGTTCACTTTAATTGTGTAAAGCAGTACTTTAATTGTGTAAAGCTACATAGAATGGTCTGAAAAGCATTTTAGGAGGTAAGCAGGCTTTTTCTTCCTCACACAGGCAGCAGGTCTGGAAAAGCTGCTTTCATAAATATAGCAAAAGTCACACCAAACCCCTTGGAACCTTGTATGCCACTGTAAGCAGAGGAACTGTTAATGAGAACAGGATAATTGTAACTAAACATTAATTCCTCTCTATTTATTTTGGTACAAGGTCAATTCTGATGTTATTTCTTCCCATGCCAAGTTATACCAAACACTGCCCAAAGGTGTTGCAGGCAGGAGAAAACAAAGACTGAATTAATCTCAGATGGGAACAGGAAAAGTCATTTTGGGATCCTTTGAGGTTACTATTGCAATCCTTCTAGGAAATAACAGAAATCAAAGCAGAGGAGAGAGCATCTGCTCATCAGCTCCAGCCCCATGCACAGGATGAGGGGGAAGGACGTGCACTGCTCCTGTGGGAAGGCAGGGATGAGGCTGGGACAGGCACTTGGGGCCACAGCACTCCTGAAACACAGCCAAAACCCTGAATTCAAAGGCATTTTATGGAAATCAAGCCATCTAAAGCATCCTGTGACACTTCTCTACATGAAGCAAAATGAGCAGCATCAAGTGCCACCATTTTGTAATGATTGTCCTGAAATGCTCAAATACTAATTAAATGGAAATAAGAAAAAACAGCCTGGAAGACAAATGGGCACTGAAAAATGGGCTCCCAGATCAAGGAAAGCTTATTTCTCTGTGACAGAACTATAGACACACACCTCAGAGAAGCAGGCATTTCTAAGGGTGGTCGATAGCTAAAGCATTCCCTGCAAAGATATTGGGAATATCCCCATGGACCATAAAGAAAAATAAACATTAGGGTGATAAAGTACTTCCTCTCCTGTCAAAAATATATTGCTACATATAAAATCATGGCAATTGCACCTCTTACACGAGGTTTTTAAATTCAGGCCTCTGTAGAAATGTGCTCTAACAGGATGATGATTGTTTTCCCTGGCTGCTGCTCACCCTGGAGAGCCCCCAGCCATTGTGCTGTTGCAGGAGGAGGATTTCCGCTAGTAAACCTGCCAGGGGAACACAACCAGGCGTCCCAGGAGCTGCATTTCTTTAGGAGAATGGAAAACCCCTCAAGTGCCAGGAGCTGGAAGGAGATGTGAGCCCAGGGCCCACCAGGTAACGTCATGCTTGTTTTGAGAGACTCCACAGGCTGATCAGGGGAAAGGAGACTCTGGGCCTGTTTAAAGAGAAAAAGAGAAAGTCCAAAGTACTTTTAAAAGTACCATCCAAGGATGGAGGCAGCTGCTGGAAGGGTTCCCACATCCAGAGCCGTTTGCCAGATCAGCTGAGACAGAAGTGCTGGGGATCCCTGCAGAGCCCAGGGGCAGCTCCAGGCTGCCTTGGCTCACAGCTGCTCCTCACACTTCCATTTGCAGGGGACATTTCTGAGTGCTTCACTTGTCACCCAGCTCTAAGGATTAGTTTTTTGCACCCTGCCTCTGTTACTACAGCTGCAGAAGCCACGGGCCCTGCTTCCACGTGCCACACTTCACCTCCTGCCTTAGCACAGAGCAGCTCACCCTCAGGCTGCTGCACGAGCACTGAACACACATTTCCCGTGCTAGATAACCCAAACTGGGTCACTGTACTCCTCTGCAGGAACTGCTGATTGCATCTGTCCCACCACACTCACACAGCCTGTCTCTGCAGCACATTGCTCCACCACACCACCCCAAGCAGTGCCACAGCCAGCAGCGCTTTTTCCTGCTGTAACTTACTGAGTTATAAAGAGACCATTCTTACCTGTTCAGCTTGCTCCTTCCTTGTGCACCTGTGGCAGCCCAGCAGCAGCCCAGCAGCAGCCCAGCAGCAGCCCAGGAGCCTTGTGCAGGCAGGGGAGCAGCACCACAGCTCCTGTCCCATCCCTCTGGAGCCCCATCCTGATGGAGCTGCTGGGGCAGCTGGGATCCAGTCCCTGCTCTGTCGGCACTGCCCGCTGCTCCAGCCCCTCACCTGGCCAGGGGACACTCCCAGGCCCTGCCCAGCACTGCATCACCTGCTGGGTGTCCCAACAGCTCCTCCACGATTTCCCCCAGGCTCTTTGGAAAGCTGGGCTGTGCCAGGCTCAGTCCCCACCTTTCCCACCAGAAGGAAAGAACTGGGCCAACAGCAAGTGGGCCGTGTCTGTCCCTGAACAGCATTTACCAAACAGAGCAGGTCTCTGGGAAGGAAAAAGAATTCCTAAGACCAAGCCTTGGAGCAACCGAGAGCACAGGATTTATTTCAAAAGGCAGCAGGCAAGCTGCTGGATTGCTTTGTTTTTCAAATAATTTAATTATTTCATCTGGATGGTTTTTTTGTGAGACCTTCCATCCTGTGACTCTTACGTAGCTGTGTCAGGAAGTGAGGCAAGAGTGCAAGAATGAGCAGAGCAGCAGTTAAATGTTCCACTTCACTTTTGTGGCTCAAAAGCTCGATAAGGCACAGAAAACTGAAAGGAAGATGAGTCTTGCAGGCACCTTGCCCTGCCACCAGCTCTGCCCCAGGTGTTTGTGTGCTCAGTCAGACCCCGATGCTGCTGATCCAAAAGCTGCTTTGAATGAGCAGGTGAAGCTGGAGGTGTTTCCACGAGTGCTGCACACCTCGGGCTGGGGTGAGCACACCTCCCCAGCCAAAGGAGAGCTGGGCTGCTGTACACAGTGCCCCGAGGTAAAGCTCCTCCTGGGCTCCAGGAAGAATATTTTTAGCTTAAATATTTTTAGAAAGTGAAAACCGAATTGAAACCCAGCAGAAGTCAGCTGGATTAGTTCTTCATTGCTGCCAGCAGGAGCAGCTGGCTCTGAGCTGCCCGAGTGGCCGGGGCTGGCAGGCTCACACAGCCCCAGGGCAGCCTGGCTGGGCAGTTTGCTGCTCTGCACACATGTCCTCATAAACCATTATTAAAATAAAGCAGAGCAGGAGCTGCTGTGGCACTGAGCACTGCAGAGAGCTGGGGCCAAGGAGCAGAGGCACCTGAGCCCAGGGCTGCGCTGCCTGGGCAGTGCTGGGGAAAAAGGCCATGGGAACAAAGGCAAACCCGGGAAATCCCCTCTAAATGTCAGGAAAAACATTGCAGGACATTTTACACATTCCAAGCTGCAGAGGACCTGAGGTATGGTCGGGTCTGGAACAAATAAGAAACAGACCCACGTGTTTTCTCAGGGGTGTGGAGCTGGCTGCAAATCCCCTCCAAAGCCAGGTTCCTGCAGCTCACACCTGAGGAGGAGACCGAGCACAGCCCAAGGTCCTGGGCAAGCGCCAGCAGGGCTGGGAGTGCTCAGCCAGGCAGGGCCAAGGGCAGCCCCTCGCCCTCCCCTCACCACTCTTCCCAGGAACAGCTATTTTTAGGTCACTTACCGCCACTAAAACATACTCGGGCTGTTTTCAGGCTGACTCACAGATGAATTCCTGTTATGGAGGCATTTTCAGTCCACACCCAAAATAAGGGAAGACAAAACAAAATGAAACCAAAAAAAACTCCATCTGAATCAGAACCAAAGCCCGTGTCCAGCGGTGCTGATGCCGGTGCCTGCAGCCCAAGTGTGGCTCTGCCTGGGAGAACCTGCACCCACAACCCACTGCCCATCACCTGTATCTACACCTTCACCCACTGCCCATCACCTGCACCCACACCTGCACCCACAACCCACTGCCCATCACCTGTACCCACACCTGCACCCACTGCCCATCACCTGCACCCACACCTTCACCCACTGCCCATCACCTGCACCCACACCTGCACCCACTGCCCATCACCTGCACCCACACCTGCACCCACTGCCCATCCCCTGTACCCACACCTTCACCCACTGCCCATCACCTGCACCCACACCTGCACCCACAACCCACTGCCCATCACCTGCACCCACACCTGCACCCACTTCAGCCCTGCTTAGCCCAGCTCAGGTGAGGTAATGCTTTGGTGCTTTATTAAGTTAAATTTTTCCATGTACTACTCAGGAGTAGAAGAATTAAAGAGTATGCAAAGCTTACTGTAATGGTTTTTATTGTA